TCTTTTTCATGGAAGACCACATCTCTATTTCTGACTGTCATTTTCTTTATTGGATCCCATTCCCTGTAACCAAATTCCTCATCACTATATCCTACAAACACACACTGTATGGCTTTACTGTCAAGCTTTGATCTCTGCTCTTTCAGCACATGCATGAATGCTTTACACCCAAAAACTTTCAAGTGAGAGTATGAAGTATATTTTCTTATCCACACTCTTTCTAAAATGTCAAAGCCCAAAAAAACTGATGGTGATCTGTTAAGTAAATAACAAGCCATGTTAACTGCTTCACCCTAGAATGACTTTGGTAATTTTGCCATCCTTAACATACATTTAACTTTTTCTATAATGGTACGATTTATTCTTTTAGCTATACCATTATACTGTAGTGTTTTAGGTTCTGTCATCTCATGCCTAATACCATGCTTTGAACAATATTTTTCAAATCCTTTAGATGTGTATTCCCCACCATTATCAGTTCAAATACACTTCAATGATAACCTTGTCATCCTTTCAACCATGGCATGAAATTTTTAAAAATACTGTAGTACCTAACTTTTGTATTTCAACATATACACCCAAGTTTTACGTGAAGCATCATCAATAAAAGTAACAAAATATCTGCTACCACCAATGACTCAACCTAAATGGGACCACATACATCAGAATAAATTAATTCCAATCTATTTTCTTTTCTCTGAGAACTTTTACGAAAAGAAACTCTATGATGCTTACCAAACAAACAATAATCACATGAATCGAGAGACATACCTTTGGTCAAGGGAATAAGAGACTGCCTTGCCAAAACCTGTAACCTCTTTTCACTAATGTGTGCCAGCCTTCTGTGTCACAAGTTTGCTGAAGCATCATTTTCAACCGCATTTTCCTGGTTATCGTTCAATTGCATCCATGTCTTATACATTGTACAGCATAGTTTTTCTCTTGCAACTACCATAGATCTTTTGGGAAGCTTTCATTGTCTATTCTTTTGTCGACTTTCATATCTCTCTTTATCAAGGACATTAATAGCAAGCAAGTTCATTCTCATATCTAGAATATGTCTGACATCCCTCAAAGTCAACATGCAGCCTGTACTAATTTGTACAACAATATCACTAAATCTAACAATTTGTGACACACTCTTGTTTCTCATCTTGGTACAATCAAAGTCTCCTACTTTGTAAGTTGTAAATAACTCTCTTTTAGGAACACAATGATATGTCGCTCCTGTGTCAATTATCCACTTAATGTCGGAATCACTAACATGATTACAATCACCATGTGTATAAATCAAAGTAACTGAATCACTATCTGAATTCACTACTGCAACATTGCCATCATCTGAACTCTTGTCTTTCTTATCTTTTCGCTTTTGCTTCAAGATTTTATAGTTTCATTTTATATGACCTGTCTTACCACAATAGAAACACTTCATTTTACCTTTAGACTTGGATCTATGTTTAGACTTATTATGACTTTTTGAGTCCTGACCTCTATCGATATTTCTACCCCTATTCTCTATGATCAGAGCTTAATTCTCAGGGTCTACATCTTTTTGCTTTGCTTTTTCATTAAGCATACTATCCTTTATCATCTTTAATGTCACCTTACAATCAGGAGCTAAATTAAGAACAGTCACAACTAGAGTATTTCAGCTATCTGACAATGAACCCAAAAAAAATAATGCCTTCATTTCATTATCCATCTTAAGCTCCATAGTAGTCATCCAATTAAATATATCTTGAAAATCACTCAAATGCTTTGTAACAGATCGTCCATCCCTGTACTGTAAAGTTACAAGCTTTTTAACAAGCATAACTTTATTCATACCTATTTTTCTCTCATACAATGCTATCAATTTTTGCCAAACAATGTGAGCATCTGACTCCTGCGCTACATGATGGAACACACTGATATCAACCTATTTTTTTATTGTAGCCAGCGTCTTTCTACCTAGCTTCTTCCAGCTTTCATCTTTCATATTTGTTGGTTTAGCCGAATTACCCAATACTGGCTCATACAAATCTTTGTAGTATAGATGATCCTCCATCATAGGCTTCCAAATTGAATAATTCGATGCTGTCAATTTTATCATGAAACCTGTATCACCCTTCATGATCTCAAACAAAATTTACTTCTATCCTGGGTTGCTTCTATATCGATGTCTCAAAATAACCCTAGCTCTGATACCACTTGTTGCGCCTGAAGTAATAATCACAACAATACAAAAGCAATAGACAACAATCAATAATAAAAAATGCAAAAAAAATAAAACATACCAAGATTTATGTGAAAAAACCTCAAGTGTAGAGAAAAAAAAACTACAGACCATCAGAAAAATCTTCACTATCAAATAATAGGTATACAAAGTTCTTCTCTAGCTAAAACTGGAGCGAATCAACAACTAGAGAAACAATTGGAGAAATATCACCAAATAAGTGACTCAACAAATACACCCTAAATTTGTTCCTAGAGAGCTTCAAACCCTATCTTCACCGTTCAGAATGTAGAACTCTGAATCATAAACCTCCTGACAAGGTTTCAACTCAATCGGACTACGGATCGACTTCCGTTCAACCAACTCTCCTTTCTCCTTTTTCTCTCTGCTTTTTCTGGCTTTTCTTCTTTCTCTACTTGGTTTTTGACACACCCTTAAAATAACCCCACCTCTTTTTTATTAAGTAGCTAGGGCTCTGTGTAAAATGAAAGATCAAGGCCCATGACTTTTACTTGGTCCAAAACCACTTACATGGGGTTGGACCCCATTTTCCTAACAAGATGGATAGTTTAGAGAATTTGAAACTATGAAAACGAAGAACTAAGGTTAAAGAATAACATATCTTGGTTTCAGTTGATTTTGATGATGGAGAGAGGGTTTTTGGTGGTTTAGAATATTGGGTTAAATCTTTAAATCTAGGCTAATTCATGAGTTTTTCGGAGAATTAAGTTGATAGTGATATAGAAGAGACCAAAAGAGTCTGATGGGTGGGATTTGGTAGATTGTTGACATTAATGAGCGACAGCAAAGGCGGAAGAGGTAGTGGGGACAAGTTGATCGGCCGAAAGCAGAGAAAGAAGAAGATTTTTTATTGCAATTTTTGAAGGAATTATGATTTTTATAGTATGCTGAGAAAAAAAATCAAATAATTTATATATTGTTTTAAAATAAAAAGTGCAATCTCAAGTATAACTGGTTAAGTTTTCTACTTTAAGTTGAATTTTTGCTTTTATTGGTTATAATTTTTTTCTTGAATTACCCTTACTTTGAAAAAGAAAAAAATGGATAGTTACAGTTAAAGAGTATTGAAAGAAAGTAAGAATGATTTTTCTTTAATTTTTCAAACAATACAATTTTTTGGAACAATTAAAGGTATGGAAATAAAACAATATTTCTGGGATGAAAGAAGTAATATAATTGAATATAAAAAGCAATAGATATTTTATATAATTCAAGACTTGTCGAGTTGGGCTTAGCAAATTCTGTGAAGAGAAAATAGATTTTTTATTTTTTGTAAGCAGACCTCTTTTTTAATCTAAATATATTAAATAGCGTAATATATTTTTTTTCAACTCTGTTAAAATATTAGGCAAGATTTCGAGTTTTAAAAATCAATCCTTGCGCAAATGTAGTATAAATAAAGTTCAACCCAATATAAAATATTAATATTAATTAGTTTGTGGCGCGACGCATGAGGTTATTGTTTTTATCTAAACGCACAAATGGTATTTTAACAAAAAATATAAAATTTTCATATACATATCCAAATGTATATATATCTTAAATAAAAAATTTTGGATTAACTCAAGGTTATTTCAGTAATTTTTTATTATTTATGTCTATTCCAATTAAAAATAAGTTAATATATTTTTAGAAAAAAAAATTATATGTTGTATTTATAAGAATAACTCACTTATATAAACTTTTTGGCTTGGAATTTAACCAACATCTTAGTAAATTTGATTTACATTAAATGTTAAAGTTTTTATATGAAAATATAATATTATCTTTTGACATTGCTAGGAATGAATTAAAAATATTTTTTATTATTACAAATAGTATTTTTTAATAATCTAAAACTTCATTTGTAACAAACTTAGGAAGTAATTTTTCATTTTCAATAAAAATCAAGATATATTTAATTAAGTCATAATTAACTATATCATTTAAGGTTCACTTAGCTTATAATACAATATTCGGAAATCCTTATGATTTTACTTCCAACCAATGGATCTAGTATGACAACAACCAAATTAAACTATAATTTTTGTCTTCATATTCTAAAGCGTTACAAATCAATATAGTCTTATAGTATATTAAGATTGAAGAGTTTGATTCTTGTATATCTAGATATGTATAATGGGAGTTTCACATTTCAGAATTGCATCTGACCAACACCAAAGACACGAGTAATGAAACCAAATCCCTATTTACAATAAACAAGTATGGAAAGCAAAATAAAAAGAAATTGTCCGCAACAGGTCATGAATTTCATGATCTAAGGATGATATCAAACCAGAGATTATTTGTAAAATATTTATATTATCAGACATTGTATTCCTAGTACATAGACCAAAAAAAAAAAAAAAAAGAAATCAAGCATCTAAAAGAGCTACGTACATTGCCTCCAGTTCTTCCATGCAAGGAAGACAATGACGAGGTTTTGTTGAAGGTGACAACGAATGGCACTCTGAAAGAAGAAAAGGATGGCTTAATAGCATATCAGCAGTCTACCTTTCACTTGGATTCCTGGAAAAACACTTCATCAAGAAATCTTTCCCAATGCTTGACATGGTTTCTCGTATTTTTGGAGGATATCTTGAAAATCCAATCTTGATCGCCAAATCCGCCCAGTTATGATATTCCATGGTAATTTTCCCATGATCATCTCAAGAACAATGCACCCTAGGGACCATATATCTAAGGCAGTACTGATTTTCCCATCAGTAACAGATTCTGATGGCATGTAAACTCCAGTACCTGGAAAATTTAGCATCCGAGCCTACGCCTCTAGCATATTTCTTTCTCCTGCTCGTCTAACCAGGCCAAAATCAGCGATCTGTAGGTTGCTAATGGACCCATATGGATCAGGAGGAAAAACATGGATATTTGCCGGCTTGAGATCACAATGGACATAGCCTCTATCATGAATATCCCGAATCCCTTCAAGCAGCAATTTGGTGTAGCACTTCACATCACATTCGGGTATCTTGCCCCCCATATTTCTTGACCATCAAATCCAAAAGACTACCACCAGGTGCATATTCAAGAAACAAATTGTAAACGAGCATCCCCTGATCAATACTCAACGTATCTCCATAGCATTGAACAATATTACCACAATCAGCAAACTGTTCCAGGATTTCTAATTCCTTTTGAACAGAACTAGAATCTTCGTAACGACAAGACCTAACAGCGAAAACTCGATCATCAAAAACGTAGTTTACTGGTTTCACCATGTGCCCCACTCCGTCGGAACCCTTGTCAAGAACCTTAAGTTTGATCCACTCCATAGTTAAACCATTCCTAATTGCTACTCCTTTGACTAGAGGAAAATCCATGGTTGTTGATAAAAGTAAATGATCGAAATAAGGTCAATACGCAATAATCAAAGAAAAAATCGAAGGAACAAAGAGTTTAAGGAACTGTTCTTCCTAAACTTATATATACCTTTGGGGAGGAGTAATTAATAGCAGTTTGAGTCCGTTTTCCCCTTTTCCTAATTCTACTTGCGGTTTTGGTTATTAACCCTAACCATCTATGAAACGTAAAGCTAATTTCATTACTACTTGCTGAATATATACAGCTTTTGGAAGTAGGACTCGTAATTCTATTATAATGTCTTAATCAAGAATTAGTATTTAAGTTAACTTTTCATTGGCCAATTCCCTAGGTTAGGCGGTTTAACTAATACTCCCAGTCTCTCAGTTCGTATTTTAATAATATTTATTATAAATTAATAACAAATGAATATAAATTAGATTATGTCTTGATTCAAAATTGTCTCATGTTTTATTTTAGAAAGATGTAGTTTTCCAGAATCATCATATTTGAAGTAAATACTAAATGTTATGTTAAAAAACCATTACAATTCACTATATCTTTTGAAATTATATACTTCAAAAGTTCAAAGAAAAGGAAGCATATCTAGTTCATATATAAATAAAAATTCACTATATATATTGTTATTTTAATTACTCTTCTTAGCCACTCACCTCAACCAAAACACTCAGCGAAAGACAGATTTACAATGAGGCAATAAGCAATTGCTCAATGGTGGTGTTTTCTTGTTGGCAGCCCAAACTTTCACAAAAAAGTTTAGTATAAAAAACCAATTAGATATATAGAAGCCTAGTATCTAACATTTTCTTGTAAACACTTTATAAAAGCATATAAATATATATATATATATTTTTAGCTTAAAAAAGATGCATCATATAGTCTTAAAATTTCAAAATACCCTTTAATCCTAACACATGTTTTTAAGAAGTAGCAGACTATGCAACAGTCCACTATTATAATAGTTAATAAAATATGACAATAATTTAGATTATGGTCTCAATTAATATTGTGTTTGGGTTCCTAAACAAAGTTTTTAATGTAGAGACAATGCTAAATACAATATGATTTGTGTTAAAAGTATTTTTTAACTGTTAAAAGCGAACCAACAGCAAAAGCTAATCGGAAGCTGCATTTGCAATTTAAGATTTATGATTTTGAGATAAAATTATAAAATTATTTATTTTTGACAAAAATAATCTATTTTTCTTTCCCAACAACATATACTTTTTATACATTTTAATTTTTCATACAATATTAAATACTTAAAAATCTTAAATCATAAATTTTCATAGCAATTTTTTACAATACTTTTTAAATGCACTTTTTCTAAACTGAGCTTTTTTCAATTGCAAAAGTAATGCTAAATTAGGGTTATGTCTTGATTCAAAATTTTCTAAGATTTCATTCAGGAAACATTTTAATTTTCCTAAATTATGATATTTGGAGTTATATATAGAATATGTTGAACATTCACTATATCGGTCAAAATTATATACGTCAAAAGTTATATATATATATATATATATATATATATATATATAGAATTGGATCTACTTTTTTTTTTTTTTGAAAATGGAAAATTAAGAGGAGAAAATGAAAATATAAATATGAGAAGGGATCAACTTATAGCAATGTAAAACATTTTAATTTTACACTTTTTTTTTAATATTGATTTCAGTATATTCAAATGATGAGAAACAAGTTAAAAAGAAAAAAAAAATAGTTCAATCTCATCTTTTAATTTGATTTATTGAAATCAATGTATATTAATCCCTTCTCTCTCTATATATATAATTGCCTTATTTTTTGGTTACTATCTCTGATTAGATCATTAAAAATGTGTTTGATAAATAATTGAAAATTTTAAAATCACTAAGAGGATAAAATGTTTTGGACTATCTAATAGTGTTATAAATATGATTTTTTAAAATATTCTGATGAAATTCAAATTTTAATTGATTGTTATGGAATATATAATTATTTGGTTTTTGATATAAACTGTTCTTATTTTGGCTAAATTTCTTAATAGGATTACTCATATCATTGTGGACTATTACATAAATTCAAGACTTTGATGTTAACACCGCACCCGGTCGACATGAATTTTTGCTTGAATACATCTAACTTCTCTGTTTCTTGTAAAGCAAATGAAAAACATTAGATCACATGGGATACTTCTAAAGTTGTGTTTGTAGAAGAAAACGACATGTTTTTAACACCCCTAAATCGCAAATGGATGTTCTTTACCTGGAACTAGACAAACTCATCACTTCTGAACTATTGTATTTTTTTAATTTGATATTTAAACTAAAAAAATATTAAATCGTTACTTAAATTTTATTTTTATTTGTTAAGTTATCTCACCTTTAATACAGTAAAAAACAATGATGATGTGATAGTCAATGCTGAAATGGATGACATGCGGTTATCATGAGCAATGATGTGGCTGTAATGTATTATATTTAAAAAATTTTAAAATCATTTTTGAGAAATTTTAAAAATTTTTATTACCTTTTTTCTTTTTTTTTTTTTTTGGTAAAAGTTAGATTTTGATTTAAAAAATAAAATTTAACTTTATCACAAATTCTTAAAAAATAAAATTATTTTTAAAAATTATAATAATAAATAACTTTAAAAAATAATAAAACATAATATTATTTTTCCTTTATATATATATTTTAAATAATAAAATAATTTTTTAACTTTTTAATTTTTTAATATGACACTTGATAGTCATGTGTCATTCATATTAATATTGATTGACACATCAACATTTATTTTAAATGTGTTAAGAATTAAGATAATTTAATAAATAAAAATAAAGTTTAGCAATGGATTTAAAAATTTTTTAATTTATACATCACATTAAAAAAATACAATTATTAAGGGGTTATTTTGGGTATTAAACCTTATTATCTCCTAGAACAATGCACTGAAAGTTGTGAAATAGAGACCAAGTCAACAATACGGGGAAAATAGAGACCAAGTCAACTATATGGGGAAATGCACCCATGGATTTAACTTTTACCTAGCATCAAATTAATCATGTGATTTAATTGATCTCTTCAGCTGTCTGAAAAAAAGTTTCACGAAATCCTAGTTAGTTTTAATTTTGATAGTGAAATCCTGATTATTAGCTTGCTCTTTGAACCACCCTCTAATTTTCATCATCCAGCCAAATCTAAAACTCATTTGCCTAAATTTGCACCTAAGAAATTGAGAGATGCTCGTGTTAGATAGTGGTCAGACTGATTTGGTTGGCGCCATTAAACCAAAGGCCATTGATACAAATGCATTGCTAAAGTTTTGGTTTAATGGTAACTGTTGCATCCAGCTGTCATCAAATAATTGAATTCGAATCTCTACATTTTAATTAAAAAATTAAAATAAAAAATCTTGGTTTTCACATTTGATAAAATCATGTTTATTTGATAAGACTTATGAGTCGCTATCCTATCATAACTTTAATCTTGAACACGGATCCGATCGTGATGATTAAAACTTTAGCATTAGTTAGAATTAGAAATTTAATTTTACCTAGATAAGAGAAGGTATGGCCAAGTAGTCTATGTTTGTCGGAGCTTACGATGCACTAATGATTATGTTGATTGCATTCTGGAAATAAGAGGTACAAGGTGCAGCTGGCAGCATGTTCGGCCCTGTTGGAATTTGAAGAACAAAATAAACTGCCATTTTCAAGTTGACAGTGGTTTTTGTCATGTAATTAGGGTCACATGAAATTATATTGTTGCTACTCTAAAAGGTCTCGTGAACCAACAGGGACCTCAACTATCCCAAACCAAGTGAAAGTTTTACTGCAACAAAGGAGCAAAATCAACAAATTGTAAGCAAAACAAAACTAGAAAATGTCATTTTTAGGACCTTTTATATCTGCAAATTACCTTTGGTTTTGAGCTGTTTGATTGTGGGAAATAAACCTATATTTACGGCTGCAGTTTAGCAGTTGGCTGGTTTTTGCATGAATGACATAAAGAAGGCTTGGTGGGACAGGCTACAAATATTGATAAGGTTTTTTTTATTTTTTTTATTTTACACAATCTAAAGATAAGATTTATATTTTTTAGTTGTTGAATTAAATAGAAGTTCAAGGGATTTTTTACAAACAGCATATCCTTGCACTAATTCTGATTAACAACCCAGAGAGCTTCCAGGAAGGAAAATAGACCAGAAAATGCCTTGGTTTTTCTTTATATTGTGGCTCAGTTTCTCATTTAATAATTTCTCGGAGGGTGGCCATGATCAGAAGCAATCTGCAGTTGTTGTTGGAACTGTTTACTGTGATACATGTTTCCTAGAGGATTTCTCCAGGACTAGCCATTTCATTTCAGGTTTCATTCCAAGTTTCTATTACCTCCTATTCCCGTAAGGTTCTGTCTCCATCAGTTAGTCTCAATTGATGGAGTTTCTGCTTGGATTTTTTGTGCAGGTGCATCTGTTGCAGTAGAATGCAAAGATGGGACTTCAAGGCCTAGTATTCGGCAAGAAGTGAAAACCAATGAGCATGGAGCATTCAAAGTTCATTTGCCCTTTTCAGTTGGCGAACATGTCAGGAAAATCAAGGGATGTTCAGTGAAACTGGTTAGAAGCAGTGAGCCGCATTGTGCTGTGGCCTCAACCGCAACTTCATCTTCACTCCATCTCAAGTCAAGAAATCATGGAACTCATATTTTCTCAGCTGGGGTTTTCACCTTCAAGCCACTAAAACAACCAAGCCTATGTGACCAAAAATCAAGTGTTCAGAATCCCAAACAACTCAAAAACAAAGAATCATCAGGAGAAAATGTTGTCCATCCTGAGTTATTCTTTTCAACACCATCAGTTTTCCAACCAGATGACCCTGTTCCGGCACCTCCTATCCTTTCTCCAAACCAGTTTCTGCCGCCCCCCATTCTTCCTCCAAACCCATTTCAGCCTCCTCCACTTCTTCCTCCAAACCCCTTTCAGCCTCCTCCCTTGCTTCCTCCCATCCCTTTTGAGCCCCCACCAGCTCCACTAATTCCAAACCCATTTCAGCCTCCACCAGCTCCACTAATTCCAAACCCATTTCAACCTCCTCCTGCTCCTCTTATTCCAAACCCGTTTCAGCCTCCACCAGCTCCACTAATTCCAAACCCATTTCAGCCTCCCCCGGCTCCACTTTTTCCTCCAAATCCATTTCAGCCTCCTCCAGCACCTCCAGCACCATTCTTTCCTTTTCCACCAATTCCAGGACCAACTCCTCCACCATCATCACCGCCACCACTTTTTCCTCCAAATCCATTTCAGCCTCCTCCAGCACCACCAGCACCATTCTTTCCTTTTCCACCAATTCCAGGACTAACTCCTCCACCATCATCACCGCCACCACTTTTTCCTCCAAATCCATTTCAGCCTCCTCCAGCACCACCAGCACCATTCTTTCCTTTTCCACCAATTCCAGGACTAACTCCTCCACCATCACCACCGCCACCACCACCACCAGCCTTCCCGTTTCCGCTTCCCCCATTCCCTTTCCCACCTATACCTCCTTTCCCAGGTATCCCCCCTGCCTCTACTTCACCAAGGAAATCTTCCCCTTAATTGAATATAATTCCTTCACGTATAATTCTCCAAAAATAACTATCACGGTCTAGTCACCCACTCTTTTCTGTTTCTTTTCCATTGTCCACTTTCTAATGATTGATTATACAGCTATGTAATTTGGCCAACTGTGGGGTTGTCTCTCGGTTGTTTGTATCCCCTATTGTCAATAAGAAGCGCCGTGACACAATTATTGTACTACAATAGTTCAAATCCTGGAGTTATCTGATAAGCTTTCTCTGAAATATGAAGTTTTTGCAAATCAGAATTCTCCATTTTATTATTCAGGATGGTTAATAATGTTCCTGGAATCACATAAAAATATTATTTCAGTCTTCGCGTAAGCTGTAAACTATGAATATATGACTGATTGAATTGATAAGATTTGAATTTTATTTTTAATAATTTTTATATAAATAATTTATAAATTTAATATAAATTTTTTTTCTAAAATTTATAATTTACCCGTCCTATTAAATGAATAAATCTCCCTTCTCTCTTAAACTTTTTTTCAACAAAAACACCACAAACATTTTTTCAATAAAAGGTCCTTTGATAACTAAGAAAAACGAACCAGAGAGACGAACGGAAGAAACCTTATTGTAAAAAAGCAAAGACTGAAATGAAAAAAAAATTCTGCGAAAAATTTTCCTTTTAAATTATGATACTATTAAATCGTAATTTACAAACAAAATTATATATTTGACCCTTGTGAATACAATTTAAAAAAATTATACTATCTATATGGCTGATTAATCACTTCTTTTATCGACATTTTATCTTTGGAACGGTAATCCATATTTCCTAATGTAAAATGCATCGTACTATTTTGAAACTTCCTTCACAATTCTTGACTATGGTATTTTGACATAATAATAAATTTAGTCCTCGAATTATATAAATTGTATCATTTTAAGATTTATTAAGATAAACGGTAAAATTAATTTTGATGAAATTAAAAATAATGATTGAAGTGAGATTAATTATTGTAATGATATAATTGGTTAGTATAAAGATAAAATTAAAATTAATGATTGGATATATATTTGAATGTAAAAATAACAATGACAATGAGATTAAATATAATAAAAAAAAATGACTATTAAAAAACATTATATTAAAAGTTTGTTGTTTTTATTATTTATGTGATTATATATTTTTGTTAATTTATATTAATTACAAAATATTTATTTTTTAATTTATTAAATATTTATTTGATTATAAAATTTAGTATTTATTTAATTTTTAATTATTTATATTTTATAATTATCATATTTTATTTATTATATTGAATTAACAAAGTTACTTTAAAAATTTTAAAAAAATAAAATAAAATAAAGATAGAGAGGAAAAGATATAATGGGCTGCGAGCTTTTTCACTAGAGCCACGAGCTCGAGTCAAAAAAATAACTGCAACGCGACGAAAACGAAACATATCTTGCAATCTAAATGCACGGCCAGTCCAGTTGGCGGGTATAATCTCACCGCAATGGTTATAATTGACCATCCAAGTGGGGCCTTAGTTCCAATTCTTTTATTGTCAACTAAGCTTTCATGCGATTATTAGTAATATACCTACGTTTTATTGCGAGTTTAAAATTTTTTAATTTATAGTTAATACTATTAAATTTAATAAATCAGTGGGCATAATTTTTTTTATAATTTTTTAAGAAAAACAATGAGTAGTAATAATTTATCAATTAATTTATGGATAGTGTATGCATTTTATTTTTATAAACAAATTAAATACAAATTCATGCAAATTCATTCTTTTAAAATTATCTTTTCAAAGATAAAAATATTAAAATAAATAATTAAAATAAAGGTTAAAAAAAAAAGAGAAAAGCCCATGCAAAAGAAAAAAAATCAAATAGGAATACTACATTGACACTTCCATTTAAAGATGGTAACGAGATAAATACGAATAGGTTTATACTCATTCCAACTTTGACCTTATATCATGTTATTATTTTTTATATATAACTCGACATATATATATACATCATTTGACTTGATTTGACTCAAAATGAATAGTATAACATTTATGAAAATATTATTTTTAATATAAATTATATCATAGCCAAAGAGTAATCATTTTTTATATTAGGGATCAATTATTTAAAATGATAATAAGATATAAAGTGATGTAAATCATAGGATTTAAGTAGAATGATTGAAGTGGTAAAGTGTGTTGAAGATGTGAAATCACAACATGGCTTTAAAGTTAAAGGTTACATTGTATAAAACAATTGTAAAGCCTGCATCGTCATATAGGATTGAGTGTTGGGCCATTAAGAAACAACACGAGAAGAAAATGAGTGTAGCTAAGATAAAGATATTTGGATAAATGTGTGATAAGATTAGAAGAGATAAAATCAAAAATAAAATATATTCAAAGAAAATTATAACTAGTTTGAATTAAGAAAAAGATGAGAGAGAGCCATTTGAGATGGTTTGGACATATAAAACGTAAGTTTATCTGTGTACCATTTAAGAGAAATGAGTTTCTAGATTTTGGATAGGCCAAAACTTTTAGATATAGACTACATAAAGGCAAGTAACAAGAAACAATACGAAGGTTAAGAAAATAAATGAAAATGTTGTTTTTTATAAAAATTAATGGTGCAGTAAAACTTAAAATTACGACCTAATATGATATATATATATATATTTGTCTTTCATACAGCCTACCCAAAAGTTATAAGATATAAAACTTAGTTTGTTGTTGTTGTATAAATTATATCTTAATTAAATAATAACTTTATTAACATAATAAATAATAATATATATTCTTATATATATCAAGATACGGGGTGAGGTAAAGTATTTTAAACTTGCCTTCGACTCAGCGTAATTTTCAAAAAAGAAAAGCTATCTTGTCTTGCCCTAATTACAATTAAAAATATTGTTCCTATTAGATCGATGGTTGAAATCCATTAGATGTGAATTTGTTTCAACACCCTTACATCCATTAACCCCATTTCTTACAAAATTCATTTTATTTAAAAACAAAAGGTAAAAAAAAAAAAAAAACCCAAATAGGAGTGCATCGTGGATAATTCTATTGCCATTATTTCAAAACATATATAAAAAAAATACCAAAATAGATAATAAAAATTAAAACTAAAAAAGAAATGGCCAAAGCAAAAAAAGAAAAATAAGTCAAATTAATGAGGGTGTCCCATGGACATCTTTATTTAAAAATGGCAATGGGTCACGTAGGGAGATTTATATTCACCTCAAATTTGACTCTATATTTTAATAATATAATCAGACTTTGATTTTGATTTGAAATTAAACTATTATTTATTGATACTTAATCACGACACACACATATATATATATATATAATTTATAGTCGAACAGAGTTGATCAAAAATTAATTTGATAATTTTAATTTAGTATAATGTTCATAAAAATATTATTTTTAATATAAATTGCATTTTAATTATACATAAATATAATTTTTTTACTTAAAATAAGATACTAAATAATAATTTTATTAATATAATACATATAAATAAATACCTGGGCTGAGACTAGGGGTGTAAACGAGTCGAGCCGAGCCGAATAGTGAGAAGCTCGAGCTCGACTCATAACTCGGGGCTCGATACTCGGCTCGAGCTCGATCGAGTTTTATTTTTCAAGCTCGAGCTCGATTCGTGATCGAATTCGAACTACTCGAGATCGCTCGATTAAGCTCGATTAATATGTAAAAATAAGTTCGATTCGTATATTCGACAAGAGTTCGATTATTCATGCTCGAATTCGAACTCGAACTCGGACTCGAAATATTTTATTAATTAAAATAATAAAAATATATTTAAATATAAAAGCTCGATTAAGCTCGCGAGCTACTTGAGTCAGATATAAGAATACTTGAATTCGGTTCGATCGATAAGTCGAGTTACTCGAGCTCGAGCTCGACTCGACAATAATCGAACCGAATTCAAGTTTTTTTTGAATCGAATCCAAATAGCTTGCGAATACTAATATATCATTTACACCTCTAACTGAGACTGCAACAAGAGGACTCATAAAAAACCTGCTCACAGCTGAGGCCTTAAGAGTCTCTAAATGAATACACAGCTTTATTCTTGCAAATGCACTTTACTTCAAAGTCACATGGGCTCAACTATTTGATACATCAAAAACTGAAAATAGAGTATTTCACCTTCTGAATGGTGAAAAAGTTCACGTTCCTTTCATGACTAGTGTTGGATTTGAGCAATATCATTACCGATCATTTGATGGTTATAAAATTCTCAAACTCCCTTACAGAAGTAGCCAAACCACTAGGAAATTTGCCATGTATTTCTTTCCGCTAGATGCAAGAGAGGACTGAAGAACTTACTGCAAATGTTCAAGTCCAACCCTGAATACTTTAATAAGCCATTCGATCTTGTCAAAGAGAAGACTTCTGATTTCTGGTTCCTAAGGTTCAAGTTCTCATATGAGTTTGAAGCGTCAGAGGCTATGATAGAATTGGGACTAAACCTACCTTTTGACAGAGATAAAGCAGAGATTCCAGAAATGGTTGACTCACCACGGGGACTTTTTGTCAGGAAGATGTTTTCCAAGTCTTTCGTTGAAGTCAACGAGGAAGGAACTGAAGCAGCAGCTTGCACTGCTGTTATATTTGAAATGCAATGTTTAAGGTATCCAATCCAAGCTTTGTAGCAGATCATCCTTTCATGTTCATGATCAAGGAAGAGACATCTGGGTTTGTGTTCTTTGTTGCAGCTGTGCTCAACCTCCTCTTGGAATCCTGAATCCAAACAAGGGTTATGTATGGTGAAATAAAAAGTAAGTTGTTATTGCTTTGATCTGATGTTTTCTTAATTATCTGGTGGGATTAAAGTTTCAATTGTCTCTTAAAATATACTAAGATGTAAACTCTGAAATTATAATTGTAATATTTTAATTTGTTCTTTCATAGAGCTTTCTCTCTGCTACCTCTCTAAAATCTACACAGCATATTAATGCATTCTTTTATTGCTTGATTTCAGTATGATTCATGAAAAATGACATCTTAGAAGTTGTTCTTTTTTTCTTTTCCATTTTCTAATTATGTTTGACTCATAACCCAAAAAGCACGATGAACCAGAAAAGTAAATGCTAAACCAAGGGATATAATAAATTTCCATATTGCCACAGTATGTGTATTTGACATAAATTAAGCACAAACAAAACGCCCCCAAGGCTCTGACAGATATATTCGGCCCCAATATTAAGTATGCAACACAGGGTAAAAAGC